CCGCAGCGGACAACAAAAAGAAAGAACCGTCGTCGCCGCAAACTAAAGCTGCCTCTAGCGGGAAGGAGGAGGAGGAGGAAATGGGGGCGTGCCAGCGGCACAGCCAGCGGCGGGGGACAAACAAGACGCGGAGACACGCAGCGACAGCGGCGGACACGGCGCACAAACTCAGCGTGAGCCGCAGTGAGTTGCCCCAACGAAAAAAACTAAAACAAAAGAAAAGAAATGGAAACCCCGCAACGCCCCTCCCAAAATTAAATGAAAATAAAACGAACTCACTTCGGCAGGTGGTGTTCCTTCACGTGTCCAGCAGCCCAAGAGGACCGTGAGGGAGTGTGTGTATATAGTTTATTACCTGCACAAAAAAAAGAAACAACCACCCGGTCGCACACGCACACACATCAAGTTTGCAGTTCACCGTGGCCGCGACCCCGCGCCTCATTTGGGCACTCCGTGCGGCCGGCACCGCATGTGTGCGTGTGTGTGCGCGGCAGCAGCAAACAGAGGGGGGGGGGAATGGTGCGCCGCCCGTGGGAAAGTGCATGGAGTGGCGAAGGAAACAATAAAAAAATCCCTCAGAGCACAGGAGGGAGAGGAGGATTGACCCACAGGGACGACACGCAAAATGAAAGAAAAAAAAAGAACACTTAAATGAAGAGACCCGCATGGGTCGCAGCGCACACCTCTCACCATGCGGAATCACAATTCCACACTCCTTCGCTCAGAAGCCTGCCGCGACGCCACAAAGCGCCAGAAGAGTCAGCAGCAATAGCCAAGACACGCACCCACGCACAGCGACGTCGCTCTCTGTGTTCATCGGGTACAGCCCTGTGGTGTTCTTGAAGGTGGCGGAGTTGTTGCTTAAATGCGGCGCCTGAGCCGTGCTTGCCGTGGCGGCGTTGCTGGGCGCCTCGTGGCCGCCGTCCGCGTCCTCTTCCGCCGCAGTTTGGGGGTCTGCGCCATTTTCTTCGGCGGCAGCGTTTGGCGTCTCGTCGATGGGCGCGGCCGAAGCAGACGGCACGCCGTCAACGGCCTCTGGCGCGTGCGACGGAGGGGTCTGCTGCGCCTGGCCGTCACCCACCGAGGCCGCCGTGACTGCACCGTCTGCGGGAGGCGAGGCCCTCGTTGCCGCTCAGAAGTTTCCGCACCGACGGCCTGCTCAGTTGCGCCTGTGCGAGGAGCACTGGCCGCAGCCGGTGCTGTCAACGCTGGGGACGCCAATGCACCGTCAGCGTCTTCTGTCGCTTCTTCCTCCTCATCCTCCTCCGCCTTCTTTTCTTTCTCTTCCTCCGCCTCTTCTGCTTCCTCTGCGTCGGAGTTGCGCGTGTTGTTAGAAGGTGTTGACGCCTCGCCTGCCTCTTTGCCTGCATCCTGCGATAACTGAGGCGGCACTTCCTCTTCCTCTCCCTTTTCTTCCCCTTCTCCTTCCTGTTGGTGGTGTTCCTTTGGGGGGCCGAGGTGGGAGTCCCCGGCGGGTGGCGCAGGAGCGACCTCCACCTCCCTGCCCTGCGGCGCAGTTCCCGGGTCCGGCGCTTCCACGACTTCCTCCGGCCCAGCAGCGGCGGCATCGGCGGCATCGGGGTTCGTCGTCAGTGCCGCGAGCTCGGTCCCGCTCAGCGTGCGGCTGTACAGCAGGACGTCGGCCACCGTCACCTCAACGCCGCCCGCACCGCCCCCGCCGAAGTAGAAGTGCGAGATGCTGCGCGACTTCAACAGCTCCTGCAACTGTTTAGAAACGCTGCTTTCCCAGTCGTCGTCATCTTCGCTGTCGTACACACGCGAGCCACCGACGTACACAACCAACCCCTCACCGGCATCCATCCCCAGTGCCACGCGGCACGTTTTCTCCTCCTCCCACTCTTCATCCTCCGACAGCTTCAGGCGCTTGTTGTTGAACGTCACTTCCCACTTCTTGTCCTTCGTGCACGACAGACCCAGGAGCACAGTGTTGCTCCCGTCATTCAGCTTCGCGCCAAGCAAAGGAGCGGGGCTGCTGCCTTCCGCTGGCGCCGCGTGGATGGTCACCTTCGCCACAAGCGTAAACGCGGTGTT